AATAGACTTGAACTTCTTGATTTTTTTTTATTTTATTTACCTAAAATATTAAATTATGTATTTATATTTTTAAATAGATTAGTATTAGATTTCGAATCGACGGTTACAATTATAATATACCTAATTAAATACCTAAATATTGTTATTTGCTTTAATATAAATATTCTTAGTTTTATTAATGGATCCATAATTTATGCAGGAAAATTGGTGAGATAACTATGATTTTGGTATTTGAATGGGGGGTGTGGGTGGCAGATGTGGATCTGTTTCATTTAAAAGTATTGAGCCCCTCCAAGTTAAAAACTAAAATTGCGCCTAGGAGTATCACCCCCAGAAAATTTCCTTTCAGAAAACGGTATACATTGTATACAGCGGAGTAAGCTTTGTGGTAGAAAAAGTTATATCACATTTGCTTGCAAAACTCAGGAAAATCGAATAATGATCCTATTAAAGTAACTTCCCAGTCGGATTGCCTTTCAGAAAAAGTGTTATTGTAACTCGGTGCAAAATTGCTGATTGTAAAGTTGTTCACAGGAAAAAAGAAGTCTGTAATATTTTTTAATTAATACCTATTAACTAATAATACCTACTAATAGTAATTACCTAATACATAAATTTTCAGTTTTTCCTCTGTAATTTTTTTTTGGTTTTTCACATATGTTTATTTTCTAATTATTCTTACTAAATATTTTTTATTTTTTCATTTTATTATTTTATAATCAAAATATTTTTCTTTCATCATGATCCATCAAAAATATTTGACCCATAGGTTGGACAACACTGTGCCATACATAGCATTTTGTGGTTACAACCTATATTTTATAGCACAACATGGTCTGAAACTAAATTAATTTTTAGGTAAGTTTTAATTTTTCTAAATATTGGATAATATTTAATTGTCATAGAAATAGGATACAACTTTTGAAAATATTATGTTTGAATTCGCCATAAAATTGATTTGATTACTTTTTTAGAACTAAACTCTCAAACCCTTTAAAAATTTTGTTTAGAATTTTGAAATACGAATAATATTAAACAAAAAAAAAATGTAAGAAATTAACTTCATGATTTATTAAAATATTTGTTTAGACCTTTTTTTCTAATAGAAAGTATAGTTGATACAGTTGATAAAATATTGATACTTTAAGACAATATGAAACTCTGTTGTACCTATTTCCCATTAATGGTTATCAAGCAGTAGATTAATGGAAAAGTCTTATCATTAGGTTGTTCATTCAAATGTTCAACAAATTTTTGAAATTTACAAAATTTGAGAACATTTAGAAAACCAACACCAACTCTTTAAAAACAATATTAGACGATATTTAAATTTGTTTTGTCATTTTTTTACTAGGAGTCCTGATATCTGCTATTATTTTTACTAGTATTTTTTATGATACTAATATTTTTAGAAAAGTAATATTATTCAATGTCACCTGAATAGCATTCATGCAATAAACCATTGTTCTGTATAACATAAAAAAATAACAAATTTCTTTGAGTGTTGACTTTTGGTATTAATTTATATTGTTGAATAAACATAAATATTTCTATGCAGGAAATGGCTTTTGTTATATACCTTGCCAAGTGATAAATGGAAGGAAGCACTTTGAAGTAGATACCATTTGGTGGAGTTTCTCCTAAAAATGTTATAATTAAATCTAAAGACTTTATAATCATTTCTAGGTAATTACCCAGAATTACCTCCCTAATGTTCTGTAAAAAAACAAAATTTCTGGAGTCATGTCTTTCAAACCTTATGATCAGTTTTAATAGTAGAAATGTATATACTTTGTTAACTTTTTTGGATTTCTTAAAATTAGATATATCTATACTAGATATAACAAAGAGCTTTATTTCAGAAAAGGAATCTTGTAGAACAATTTCGTATATATAATGACAGCAAGGTAATAATTAAAGTTGTTTATTTAATTTTTTTTTTTTAAATGAAATATGTTCCATTGAATTGAACCGTATTAGATGCAGTGGTTTTAACAACCATGGTTGAATTTTATCTTCCAATGACCAATTGATTAATATGTCATATTATATTGCAGATGATACTTCGATACTGTTAAAAAAAGATTTTATTTTTTAAAAATGTATTTTAAATTGTACCTAGGTTATTTAATTTGGGTTTAAGTAATTTTATTTAAATAAAATAACATTGTTTGTTATAGCACTTACCAAAAATACTAAGCCAAAGAGAAAACCAAATCCTAAGAGCATGCAAAAGCCAAGTAAGTTATTAATAATGATTAATTACTCCATAAAGCCATTGTTTAAGATAATAAATAATAACCAATAATATTGAGTATAAACAAAGTTGAAGCAGTCAGTAATTTGTTTTATTATTTCAAACATTTATTAACAATTAGTTTTATATAAAAAATTTTAGTTAAATTTTTAGTACAAATTGTGATGAACTTTGCTTCACAACCTGCTTCGTGAACATCTAGATTCGAAATTCAACATAATAGTTTAGTAAGCATTTTTTTGATTAAAGTAATATATCGGGGAGAAAAATGTAAAAAAAACCAACTATTGCACTAAACTAATGCTTCTTAAATTACTCAGTACCTTAAATAATAAATTATAAACCTTTTATGTTTTAAAGATAAATGATATTGTATGCAAGTCATTTTTTATATGTCATATTAAATATTTTGTTGGCCGACCCCTAATAATTGGTATAAAGGCAAGGGAGAAAAAGATATTAGTTATATTGATAGACATTTTTATTTACCTATACATAAGACTAACCAAATTTTTCACTATTAACCAACAAATTTAAAGTAATATTTTATGTCAAAAGATAAGTACTAAATAATTTATTTTGAAGTAGAATGTTTATTTATAAATTATAATTTAATTGTATTATGTACTTATAATATTAATCATAATAAATATAATAATATGTAAGTTAGTGAATGATAATAGTTACAGTATAATAAATATTGTGTACATATAAATAATATAAATATTTTATGAAAATAAAATGAAATAGATTTGTTAGTATATAAAATTATTTATATTTTGTTTCAGATTTGTCTACTTCTCAATCCTGTAGAAAGTCCAGTCTTAATCAATCACGAGTTAAGCAGATAATTATTTAAAAAGGTTGACAAATAAAGAAGATACTGATTTTGTAGTAGCCAAAAAATAGATATAACTATTATAAAGGTACCTCTAATATATAGGTATGCTATTCATTGATTATTATAACATAAAAAATTATCAAATATTAGGTTAAGTTATTCTTTAAATAATAATATATAGACTAAATGTACATTATGTTACTGTGGGTTTATTATTAACATACATTTTTTTTTTTTGATTAACAGTACAATATTACATCAATTAAAAGGTTAGACAAATTGATAACATAATATTAACATTAATATTTTTAATGTGTTATTTACTTGAACAAGATCCATATTTCTATTATGAAGAGATCTATATAAACAGTTCACATGTGTCATAACATTATGAAAAATAGCCAACAAAAATATAAAATATAAATTTTCTTAAAGTCACTTAATAACAGTTGTTTGGTTGATTATTATAGTTACTATTATAAAATATTTTGAACAGGATTTGAGCAGTTTTTGGTAAACAACTACTACTTTAAAAACTTACTACAACTACTTTAAAAAATCTATGTTTCTTTCTGCAGTGAATGACAAATAAGGATTGGTATTGAAGATTATAAAAATATATATACTACCTTTATTTGATTCAGTTATATTTTAATTCTAGTAGAGAACATATATTTGTTTAAATTTTAATGAAGTTTTTGTAATGTCATACAGACATTAAAAATAATTGTTCACCTATATAAAGTGGGTTCTGCTGATTAGATTCACTTTGGTATCAGCATGAAGTGAGTTTTATATTCAAAGGAACTTTATAGGAGAAGTACTTAAAGGATTGAATGTATTTGGATTTGTCCAGAATGTTTCATGTGTTATTTTTTGTTTGTAAATCAGTTATAATGGTATTTTATTTCCATGAGTCTTATAACTTATATTTTTATAAGTGAGTCTACTATACATTGAAAATTTCTTTAAACATTTCCCATTGTTCTTATTTGAAAATTATTAATGTTTAACTAAATGTTTTTCTAACATTTTTATATCTCAGTTAAATCATGTTAAATTTGTATTTCATATAATATACAAGTTGACAAGTTGACCTATGACAAGTGACTAGTTAAAAAAAACCTGGCAAATATTGATAAAAATTTGTGTTTCTTTTCATAAACAACAATGACTTGTAAATATATAGAAAATGTGATAACAATTTGACTAGTCCTTGAAGTATGGTTTTTTGTACGTGACAATTGTTATTAATATAATTTGATATTTATTCTGTGTAATTTTGACAATTTTTTTTTAAAATATGGACATCCACATCTTCAAGTTGAGACAGCGATAATAAAAATATTAATATTGGTCGGAGAAGAATATTCCATACAAGAATTAATGATGATTTTATGGCCGAATATGAATGCAATGAACGGTTCAGAATGAACTCAGTGAAGTTTGAATACATTGTAAGCCGTATAGGGCATCTTCTAGTCCATCATACAAACAGAAATCACGCATTAGACCCCATTAAACAATACAATACAATGACAATACTTTTTATATAAACTAGGTAACTCAGAAATCAACTAAAATATAACCGATGTATCAACCGTAATTGTATCAACAAAAATTATGGTATGTTTGAGATTTTGACACTTTTACTATAATTATAAAAATTTTGCTATTAGTTTTTTTTTTTTTTTTTTTTTTGATTTTAAAGCAAAAATGTTGGGAATCAAGAAATTGTTTTATATTAAATAGGTACCAACTGACAAAATCCATAAATTCACAAATCCATAAATTTTGAGGTCCAGTACGATTAATTTGAAGAATTTGTATGGTATTCCTGTCGCATCCATATCATTGATACTTTTAAATATATACAATTTTATTTTGATACAATAATAATTTTTATTTTTTTTTTAATTCTGTGGACATTCCAACACTTTTCTGTTGGCACTTCTTTCTTTTGTCTGGAAAAATAAATACACAAAATACTTGTTTGAATTTTAATACTGTAATAAGCATTGAAACATTAATTCATTGAAATATTAATTATGTGTATAAATTATGAACTGGTAATTGATTGTCATTTTTATGATTTTCAAAGTATAATAGTCGTATAAATTATAAATTCACCTATACTTTTATACAAACTGTAGTGTTATAAATTTTCTATGAAAAAACACTTTATATTTCTATGAGTGATAGTAGAGATAGTGATAGAGGGTTTTACGTAGTGGCATATTTATGATTTTTTCTTTTAGTAGGGATGAATTAATGAAATTTTGACTTCATAAAATCATACCAAGTCAACAATAACATCCTTCTCCTTACCGTAAATACACCACTAGTTTAACGTTTATAAATAGGGTACGGATTTGCAAAATTCATTTTTTTTTGTTTGGTGATCTATAGGGCAATAATTTTCAAGTACTAATTCCATTCATGCAACAGGTAAAACTTTTATTTTTAATTTTCACTGTTTTCTATTTTTAGAGCAGTTTTTTGTATTTTTAATCATTTTGAAGGAAGGATAGTATTACGCTATAAAGAATTTTATTAGAGCGTTTTTGGATATTTTTTATATTTTAGTACATTCAAATTTAGGTTTTAATTATACATATTATAATATGTCTAGAAAAAAAATTACTTTGCGGTTGTTCAAAAGTTTTGGTCAAAATATAGTTAATGTCTCTATCTGATATGTTTCCATGGACTTGATTGAAAATAATATTTTCCTGTTCTCTTTGTAAGTCTTGAATATAAAACATCGACGAAAGTACTTTCTCTGATAACGATGATTTTCTGAATCATATAAAGATATATCAGTGACAGTTCGAAATATTTATACCTTATTCACCAATTTATTTTTCCACCCACCCACTTACCAAACTTCATCAACATTCTACGTAAATTATAAGTCAACTTATATAGCCTCCTGTTAGGCATTTCTGTTTAGTCTAACAATTTTATCCACAGAATAACTATCAAATAAAAATTACGTAAAAAATTGCAATTTTAAAATTTTATCACGTCTAGAATATGTAAGTTTTGTGTCAAAATTTCAAGTCTGCGAGTATTTTAACCTGAATTACATTAATAAACAAATTAAAAATATTATTTCCCGTTATTTTAATGTATTTTTTTTACTTTTTTGTCTACTAACTAGATTATAAATGCAACAAAAAACGTTACTTGTTGTTTTCTGTTGGAGCAATATTTTTATACAAAACGTAGGCCCTAAAAATTTTAAATTAAGGAATGCTATAGAGCCGTAATTTTATCAATTTTCAGTTTACGTCATTTTCCGGTTTTTTCTCATCTATTACAAAAACTACCAGAAAATTGAAAAACAAATAACACACCAACTAAATTAGAACTGCAACAAAAGAGGTTTCTAGTCATTTTTAAATTGAAACAAGATTGCTGGTAAAAGAGATAGTACCTATGAAAAATTTAAAATTATATTAAACCAAGACCGTAAATATCAATTAATTTTAATTTTTTGGTTTAGCCCAATTATTATGAAATCTATTTTGGATATATAAAAACAACTTTTTATATGTTAGTTGATTTCTTGTCATTTTTCGATTGGAGCAATATTTTTTGTAGAAAATATTAGTAGCAAAAATAAATATAATGAAATCAGTGGCATACCGTAAATATTTTCCGTTTTACATATAATTTTCTGCCATGTTTTTCCCTATTATTTTGAAAACCCATTGGAAAATCATAACCTGCTCAATGTACTAACTAGACAAAATTTCTTTTCAGAAAAGGTAATATACTCTATACATCGGAGTAAGATTTTTTTTCAAAGTTTATTACAGACAGAAAAAAATAAATTCAAAAAACGGACATACTTCACACGCGGCCACAGGTAAAGCCACTGTTGTAGGTGGGATGTTGGGAAGGTAGGGTGCAGAAGAGAATTGAATATTTATCTGTAAGGAATGATGAACCGTTGCTAACGAAAAAACGATTCTGAGCGGAGTTCAGTTGATAGTGACACATTGTCAACAATATATATGTCATATTACAGTAAAATAATCAAATAGGCATTATATATTTTCTTTAATAATATTTGTTTAATTTGTTCTGATTTTCCCGTTTTTCCTTAGTTTTCCAACGTTTTTTCCCGGTTTTTCATATTTGCTGGAAAAAATCTTGGGAAAATCAAAAAATAACTTCCTTGAAATACTTTTACAGTCAGATTTCCTTTCAGAAAAAGTGCTATCATTTTAAATCGGAGCAAAATTGCTGGTAGAAAAGTTGTTCACAAGGAAAAAAGAAGATCCTATTAATTATAATATAATACCTATAATAACTATAATAACTACATTTTGTATATTTTCCATTTTGCCGACATTTTAAACCGTTTATTCCCAGATATTATGAAAACCATTTGGAAAATTAAAATTACCTCCCAAAAGTACGATCTGGACAACATTCCCATTCAGAAATTGTGCTATGCGTAAAAAACAAAGCAAAAAGTAGAATTTTTGTACACAGCATATATATAAAAAAAAAATCTTTGTAAAACCAATACATTCTTCGCTACAATCTAAACATAGTAAAACCAATAGATCCCGTATTACGCTCAGAATCTAAAATAGCCATGGATAAAATATGTCCTTTACATACTGTTATCTTAAAAGGCTAAATTTTGAAATGGGAAATATTTTAATATACACAAAATAAATCTTTTCAATGAATTTTAATTTGGTCCTTGTTAGAATGATTTAAATTTGTAGCTGCCCTGGCAATTTCTTGATAATTTAAAGGTATAATATTGCCTGTGTTCTTTTGCAGATTTTTTTTTAATAATATAAAAGATAAATAATTTAGTTTTTAATCATTAAGGTTTTGCGTTCCTTTGACTTTCGGAAAAGTTTATAAAATCGTAGGGATGAGGCATTGGAAAAAAACTCCATGAGAATTAATTTTCGTCTTAAAAAAAAAAAAAATAAGTATAGTTTGTCTTTTTTTTATATTGATGACAAATTTGACGCCCTTTAAATTTTTGTCACACTTATACTTTACTTGTTCTGCTTGTAGGTAAACCCGACGTTAATGTACAGGTAGTCTGAAAGAGCGATTAACAATGTCAAAGTCTATGCTCTATGAACCCGCCAATATTAACGAGATAGGACGTCATGCTAAAATAATATAATATTCACGACTGAACATTATCATTAAGCGTCAGCATACTCAGTCGATTTTAATTTTCACCACGGATATGAGTAATTTAACTTACGTAAAATATTTTTTTGATAGTAATTTATAGTAGTAGCTCTGAAAAAAATTATTTTTAACAAACCCAGAAAATAGAAAATGCACAAGGAGATTAAAAAACAAAAAATTGATCATCGTACGTCGTAACAACTCGTTAGGTAGACACCATTGAACCAATATTGTATTCAAAAATTATAAAATATTAAAGATAATCAGCGAGAGAAAAAATCAATTATTATGTTTCACGAGTTATCAAATTATCAAGTTGTCAAATCAAAATTCATAATTTTAGATTTACGTCTAACATTAATACGGAAATTAAATTATTACGATACTTAATTTTTGGTTTTCATTTTTCATTGAGGTACTTACTCGGCATTATTATCAGACGGTAATTCGGGGTAGTCTTCATTGTAAGTGTTCGTACAGTAATTTTGATTCGTTTGTTCGGATTCGAGTTCCATCCGCTTGTGCAATCTGAAAAGATTGGTTTTTTCCCTCGTAACTGCAGTGGGTCGTTAACAAAAAAAATTACTAATTAATTATTGTTGTTATATTTGTAGATATAGTTTAGACTTAAGTATCTACATAATGATTAGGCCACTAAACGCAGTTAACTTACTTACTTTTATTCAAATTTTTCACATCTTTTATTGTTTTCAATCTTTCAAATCTGTTATTGTTTTTCTCAATATCAGTTGGTTTCCACACCAATGAGATTAATGGCTGGATTGATGACCGATCGTTTTCGCTTAAAGTCAATTTTTTCCACCAATGTTGATGTTCAAGTCTTTTCATTCCTGTGTAGATATCAATCAAATACTGTATAATGTAATAGACACATATAAATTCCCTTAAAGTATTGTGAATGGTTAAGTCTCCTAAACAGGTTTTGTTACTGTATCACACACATTTTTTATTATAAGAAACAACAAAGCGGTTTCATTCAAATCTTTTAAATAAAACTAAAAGTCTGTTGTCTGCTGTACAAATTAAAAGTTATACTCCTATCTTGATAAAATTTCACACATTTTACATCAAAAACAAGAAGAAGATTGCCGTCTACTTTGTATATCTTAGTTTAAGACCTTAAAAGTAGCTCAAAATTGATTTTTTATATCAAAATATCAAAAAATAAAGTAAGATAATGGGGACAGGTACAGCTACTGTTGTAGACAGGATAGACGGAAATTTAATGTATATCTGTATACAACGATAAACCATTGCTAACGAATTTATAGCGAAGTTCATTTGATAGTGATGCTTTGTCAATAATATATATAAAATATTATGGATATAATAGATCTCTCGCTTTACTCTGAATCTAAAATGTTTTACACCAGTAAAGAGCGGACCCTTAAAAAATCTAATAGAATTTGCTTGTGACAATAATATAAACATATTATTAAATTGAATACTCACCCGGATCGGAATTATTTACAAATTTCATAATCTTTTTCTCGTGATCCAACGTAGGTGCCATGGCTGTAGTCAATTCAATGTAGTTATTCATGTTTGTTACTATTCGTTTATCATTATCATTTTCTAAATTCGGTTGATGATTGCGAAATCTGCATCCCTAAAAGATATTGGTTCATTTTTATATTCATAACGATTAAAAATCGGATTTGCATACACATATTAAGTTATACTTGAAAAAGTACGAAATATTAGCCAATATAAAATTGAATTATACTTATTTAATATTTGATAACTATAAATTATAATTATAACATGCACAATCAGGTATTGAGTAGTGATATATGTCGTTGAAAGCAACTCATTGCTATTGTATTTATATAAGTTATCATTATTGATTGATACAAATAACAATTGGCAATTGTAATACTCGAAGTTCATTTTACTGTATTCCGATGACAACGATAACCCGTGTTTATATAATATTCCGTCACGTTTCATGGAATTTTAAAAACTGTGTGCGCTCAATCGTATCAGGGCTCGATTGAATTTCTACCCTATCCCAATATAAAACAAATCCATATGTGGTGTACGTTGGAATTAAATAATATAAAATAGCATAATGCTATAAGTAGGTAGTGTAACTGTAGGTACCTGTTACGTGCATGTTGATAATAGGTTTTACCGAATGATACAATTTCTATAAAATTTAAAATGTATAGGCAGTACATATTCGTCGAGACATTGCAAGAGCAGCTCAGCGCGTGGTGTACTTGGTACACTCGTCTAGCCTTACCTCATCTCTCCTTCCAGCGCTCGCTCCGAAGTTGGGTTTTTGTGCTCAAGTCAAAGGACACGATGGGAATCGAGACGTAAATATGAGTGCATCTATTATATACTAGTCACTTGAGAACATCTGTCGTTGTTTATACGTGTGTCGTGTGTACTAAATACATATTATATTTATACGGTTTAAAGTGATTTTTAATTATTTAATAATAATATTACATATAACAATCGCATGGGACTGGACAAAATAATTGACGTTCAAATTTCTTAAAATTTTTGGAGTTATATCAAAACGCATTAATTATATGAAACTTTACGAGTTCATATCATAAAGATAAAAAAAATTAAATGATGCATGGGTTCGATTATGCACTAGAATGACCTATACCAGACTTATAAAAAAACACACACTCGTGGTTAAATGTAAGGGCTACCTCGACAGTGTCCGTGTTCGTCAAAACTGAACATAATATGCGAGTACGTAATGCTTTAAGTCGAGGCAAGCTAAGAGTGTACAATGTTCAGTCGGGCTAATTCGCCTCACCTAAAATCATGCCGATAAAATCTCAGCGTTTGTATACTGCCGACACAAATTAAGCTAAATTAAATATATTTTTTTACATTTTTAGCGATTAAATAATATTTTATACCTATAATATGTAGAGAAACGCATTTCAATTAAGAATATGCAGTATACTATTTTGTTGTTTATTTAGATTACGAATGTTATTATTACAATTTAGTAATGATTTATGAAAAATTATTATCTGCATGTATATTATGTAGAAAATAGCAAAATATATTTTATGTAAAATCCGGTCTTTAATAATAATATATTACTGATATTATATTTACTATGTTATTAAAATGTGTATAGTATCATTATTATTTAGTATAATATTATAACGGTATCTTACATTTGAGTTTTTGATTACTGAAAATTGAAAAGCTCTTTCGCCACAACAAGGATAACGGCCTGCAACATTCAAAATAGTAATGTTAATGTTTATATTATTATTTTATTTAAATATGTTCGAGTTATATTGAAAATAATTTATATAAATTAACATATATTTTTTAAACAATTTAAATCAATTAATTTGTATATCTAAATTGACCTCAATTTCTCAATCTCAAGTAAGGTGTGAGTAGACAATGCCCCAGCCTCTTTAGTTTCTACCGATCCTTATCATCCGCATTTTCTCTCACACGTTCTCCTCTGATCCAGATAAATGGTGCCCAAGTCAAATTCCTGCTGCAGGTAAAATATTTCGGGGTCATTCTCGATTGAAAGCTCAACTTTGTGGCGCACGTCAGTTACGTTGCTGGTAAAGCTAAAAGTCTGGTTCTTAGACTGTGAGAATTAGCCGCCACACGTTGGGGCCTTCGAGCACCCGCACTAAGACACCTTTACGCCGAAGCGGTGGTGCCCACAGCGTCGTACGCGGTGAGCGTGTGGACTCATCGGATGACACAAAAGATTAGCCTTGCTGATGAATTGAACAGAGTACAGCGGCCGACCCTTTTCTCAAAAATTGGCGCGTATGCATTAAAAGTCCTAGCGAGGTCACTACCGCTTGACTTATAAGTCCGCAAAAGGTCAGATCTATATGATCGTTGCAAAGCATTAGCTGAACACCTGAGCCATCTCAAACGCTCGCTGAAATCGAATCCGAAACATGCATTTATTTTCAATGTTCGGTGGGTGCTCTCGTAGCGATGGTTCTCACCGACCCATTTCTCTACATAGTTTCTCACTGGGCACGGTGCTTTTCATGCTTATCTACATTGATTCAGCATAAGTGACGTCGTGATATGTGAATGTGACAACACCCTCATGAAGGATTCATGGCATATTTGTTTACACTGTCTACTGCATACTGAGCTACGTTTATAACTTACTGAGGCTCTGTACGCCTCGGGGGTCCGGGGGTCATGAGGCATCGTCGATCTGGTGGCGTCTTTCCATTTTCTCGTGGTTCTCGTCTTTTACAAGAGTTATTCTCCCCCCCCGAGAGAACGGTACTGATATGTGCACAGTATCGCGGACTAGTTAAGAGAATGCTCGTCCCCGACACCAAATTTTAACATAGCCCATGCCATTCCAGTACACGTATGTCTACTAAATTGGCAGTTGGACTGCTGGGATACTTGATGAAGTTCCAGCATATTTGACCTTTAATAACTCTTTTCTATGAGAAAACACGAGACGTCGGCCGCGGGCAGTTAATGATCCAGAGACGGATATGGGTAATCGCCCGTGGAGTGGTTTGGTGCGTTGGGTTTGCGCACAATGCCCGTCCGGGACTGATGGGGGTAACCTCGAAATCACAGCCTTAAATTCGCGATCAGTCATCTTATTAACTCCATTTAAAAATTTTAATTTAATTCAGTTACTAAAACTGAGTAACTTTTCCATATTTATATCTACCTATAGGATGCTCCAAATCTAAGTTTCCGATCGGAAAATATTCTGGTTTTTCCGGATGGTACTGGCACATAGCTGAGTTTCTTACCGGATATTCAAATTTACACATGATGCACATCAAAAAATGACATTCCGACCACATGCGCCAGTACGTCTTCTCCCAACTTCCACAATCTTTTGCCACGGTTCGGATGTACTTATTTAAATTTAGTTTTTCACACCTGATAAAATTTTAAACGGCTTTTTTTTTAATGGAAAATACTATATTATTTTGTCTAATGAATTTTCGAGTGGAATTAAGTTTATTTTTTAATCAGAGACTATATAATATAATAAATATGATATTTTACTTGGCGTGTACGCAGATCTCGGAACCATCTTCCCGTACGACGAATTCGAGTGACCGACACGGGATTCGGAGTGAGAGTTTCGGTTGGAACACCATTTGACAATCTTTACAACTATACATGAAATCAATATAAAGAAATAGAAAAAAAAAAAATTGGAGCATCACCAACCGAGGGTTATACTTACAATGAGGCATAAGCAAAAGACGCGAAATGTTCGTACTCCGGATTTGGGTGTTTTTTCATCAAGTCATAAATGAGCTTTACGTATAGTGACTGAGTTTCGTCATTTTCGGTATTAAAGTTGGAGTATTCATCACTGTTGCTTCTGAAATTATTATATCAAATGTAACAACTAATAAGTTCTTATTTCTAAATGGTTTAGAATTTATTTTCAAATATAATATACGTAATAAACTAGACTTAAAAGAACAATTTTTTTCTTAATTTTATATATGCCGGATTATAAATTCACTTTGCTAAAAAGATATTGTTAGATATGTTAAGTTCAACAGTAAATCATTTTATTCTCCCGTAAGTTTAAAATTATAATAAACGCAAAGTAAATGTATTTTTTATTTGTCTAATTATTAATTTAGATTGTATTTAGTTTGGAAAAAATATAAATGCCTATTAAATAATAATAATGTTTGTATCAAAATAATTAATTTTTATTTTATACATTTGACAAGAAGTTCCTGTGTCATCCGTGGTACTGTTATCCGCGGTTTCTGTTGGGTTGCAGTCTGTAACATTATTCATTGGTTCAAAATTTAGAAAACTGATTTATGTATTTTGTTCTTTGATTCTTTCATAGTCTATAATAAATCTATAGTAATGCAACAGAATTTTTAGTTTTAGTTACCGGGCAACCTACCTATCTATAATTATAATATATATAATGATATGTGCCAAAATAGAGTGTCAGTTTTCGATATTTTGGGTGTGATACTTGCTGTGGTCTCCGCCTCTTTTCTCAACAACTTACCAGTCTTCTCTTATTGTTATTGTGTAATGTGCACATGCATACATAAAATTCACACTAGTACGTTTTTTTTGAAAAAAATGAAATACAATAAGGTTAAATGTTTCTAAAAATAAATTTGACTGGGAAGGTACTATAGGGAAGTTATTTTTCGATTTTCCCAAGAGATTTCCAGGTAAATGTGAAAAATCGGGAAAACATAGGAAAACTGAAAAAATCGATACAAAATTAAACAAATATTATTAAAGAAAATATAGAAAGCCTATTTAATTATTTTACTGTAATATGACTTATATATTATTGATCTAGCATCACTATCAACTGAACGCCGGTCATCAATGGTTTAATGTTTACAGGTATACATTAAACCACCTATAACAATTGCTGCACCCGTCCCCATTATTCTAGGACGTATTTTTTTCTTTAATTTCATTCGTTGTTTTTTGATAGCATATATTTAGGTACATAAGTATTTCTTTCGTATTATTCTCGTATTACCTATTCTTTCGTGTTTGCATCTGGAATTAGATGATCTATGAATTTTATTAAAAAAAAATTATTAAAATATTTTGTTTTTCAACTTGTGTGAGGGTATGTTAGAAGGGACCATAGTAAAACATAAATTTTTAACAAAAAAAATTGTATTGAACTTGATTTAGAACTATTTTTAAGCAATTGCTGTTTTTATAACTTATTTTTAAGTGCAGACACATTGACAACTAAATTATTGAACTATTAAACTATTGAAATGGACAAGCAATTTAATTCAACATAAATTTTCGCGAAGCGAGGAATTTATTCGTTTTACAATGATGTTTATTTATATTTTTTTATGCCGTGAACAAAATTTCTCTAAGAAATCTTGTTAATATAAGTTGGGAGAGAATAGTAAAGTATCATTTGTGTGGCGGTACGGTACGTGGAGTTTTAATAATGCACCACTATATAGACTCTCCTCCAATTCATAATTAGAAGTGGAATACCTCTTCAACGGGTAGACAGAAATCAAACATTTCAACACTAAAATTACTTTTAACTAATACTACATCTATTTATGGACCTTTTATTATAGGTTGTCATTTGAATATTAAAATTAGGTATAATGGTTTTACCCCCGAAAATAAGGGTGACAAAAAATAACATACATATAAAATTGTAGAGCTGCTTGTTTCGTAAATGTTTTAGAAAACAAGTTTCGAAAAAAGTTAATAATTTCCGAGATAATGAGTTTACCTACTTAAATGGATCACCTCGTACCTACATTAAATAATTTCTCAATAAATTACTTTTAACTCAATTTTTGGCATTTTCTACTGATACGGCGTCTATTTTAAGTTTTTAAATCACATATTCAATGATACTAGAATTATAAAAGTACGGAGAAGTAAATAATACATATTGTAAAACGGGGATACACCACTCATTTTTTTAAAATAACTAAATAACTAAATAACTATATATATTTATCCTCAATAATATTAATTGAATATATTCAAGGGGTATATATTCGTGGGACAACTAGTATATGTTTATAAAATGTGATAGGCATTTCTAGTTTTTATAAAATTATAAATAATTTATTACCCAGAAGGAGCTTTATATATTTAAATGAAACAAGACCATTGGGGAAGCTTTGCTCTCCCACCTTGTACCCTCTGTTTCAGATACTTATAATATTTATCATTTTTATCTTAGCTACTTTCCTACATTTAATATATTATAATAAAAATATATATCTATAAATAAAATGAAAAACATTTTTACCTAAACCATTAACAATGATTAAATACCTACATATATATTTATAATTTTAACCACTGATTCGAAATTTTGAATTAATCCAAGACTAGTTCATTAGACAATTCATTAGAATAATCCCATCCAATATAAATTAATGATAAATTGAAATTCGTTCGGTTAGAGTGTATCTTGAATCATGGAAGTTCGTATGATCGGAATTGTTAACGACAACGATAACAGTTTATACAAGTAAGGATAAGTCACTAAGCGATGACTTACAAATCCTGAGTTGGTTTTTATAAATACTTAAAAATTAAGTAAAATATGTTGACACGTTCAAAAATTTAGAAATGATTAAACAGCAAAGTTTTGCAATCGCAGATAAGTTGGCCACAAAATGAATTTTAACGTAATATGCAGTTTTCAACTTAAATTGCTAAAAAAATAAATAATAGTAACAAAAACAATATGATTCATTCGTCTAATGATATAATATAATAATATTGTATATTTTTTCATCACACAAATAAATATAATATAATAGTTTGTAATATAATAATAATAAATGCAAAGTATAAAAAAAACCGTGCACAAAGCAATAATATAATATATGTTGATTTCAAATACAATTTGGCTACACACTATTTTATTCGTATTTATATAATATAATATTAAATGTAGTGCACAGTTAAAACGAAGACAATAAAATATTTCATGACAGTAACATTCATTTAACAAAAATTTTAACTTGAGATAATGGGTTTTAGGCAATAATCATTTTTAATAATGAGATTATACTCGTATTATAGAGAAATCTGTTTTCTACCGGGTTGATAATTGGCCGACAAATAACCAATATTAAAAAAAATAAAACGTATATATTATATATAACAGAAGTTCGTATGTCTAGTCATTAATAATAAAAAAAATAAAATAAAATAAATAAATAATAATAATAATAATAAATAATATGACGTGATCTGATCTAAAGTGTACAAAATGTTGATGTGGTTTACGCGAGTGATGTAGTGTGGTGTCTAAACGTGTGTGTTAAATGCAGGCCCTGTATTTTGTTTTGTTTTTTTTAAAATTTTAAAACTCCATTATAATTTCTGTTCATTTACACCATGACCATTAATCTGGATTTAGCATACGGTTAAAAACAAAAGGTTGTCACCGTTTTCCACCAATATAAATCTCCCTTTTCTACCAAAAGGTATTGGTACCAATTTCGACCAAGACATCGCCGACCGCAACGTACGAAACAATTTTTAAAATTTGAAATAATCATAGTTCATATTGATACATTTAAACATTATTTTCACCGTTATTTAAAAAAAAATAATAATAAAGTAAATGTTAAATATCTATTTCAAATTTTTCATTGCAGGAATTAGTAGAAAATAACAAAAAGAAAATTAATAAAAATAAAAAACAAATAATATAAACATTAAACATAATTATTTAAAGTGAAATAATGCAGTATCAACTATCAATAAATAATTTATTTTATTACTGAATTACAAATCATGAATTGAAACTGATGTTCTATACTAAATATCGGAGACTGTAACCGAAAGGATTGCGCTTTTTCTATATAATTGTATAGATTATAATATATTAAATAGGGATAGTTAAAATCCAAAAATATTTCCACTCACGCCTCAGTTCGTGTTTATAGTCCTTAAAATATACTGGCTGTCAAGATATAAGCCAAAGTTAACATAATATTATTAATACTACACGCAATTGTATTTAGTCAAATAATGACGCAGATCCCGATTTAATCCAGTTTAAATAGTCTAGTGTAAACGTATATATGTATAAAGTTCGTAGATAATTTTTGCTATTTTGAAACCGAGTATAATATTATTAAATTTCTAGTGATTATTAAGGCCTGATTATTACACGTGTGAAGCACATTCATACATACTTGTATATACTATTATGTAGTATGTATTATAAATTGTATTATAGTATTTATAAAATATTTAAATTTTAGGTATTTTTTGGGCTATTTAAAGGATTATTTTAATAATCCACTATAGTATTTTAGTAAGATGATGACTATTCAAAATAATATTGATCTGGTAGCGACGGATTCAGTTTGATTGGACTAGGTTCAGAAACTCTTCACGAGTCTTTGAATCGTCTCTGAACACTCCCAACATTGTTGACGTGACAGTTTTGCTATTGATCTTCTGTACACCTCTCATTACCATACACATATGCCTGCATAAACAAACAGACAATTACTAGTTATTGAAACATATTACACAGTAATTGTTAGTATCTATTTATTAAAAACATTATTTTCGTAAATTTATCCGTTCTGTTTACGTATTTTGTTTTATTTTATTTTATAATTTCAACGCCAAAACTGGCATTTTTGTAGAAGATAAACTTAAACTAAACTATAACTAGAAGAGAGAGGTAATAAAATCTGGGTAACTTAAATCTAGCGGAGAAGAGAACTCGGACTAAGCAGCATTTAGTTGACGCAAAGCGCGGTGGAAGGGATTGTTAAACCCATAAGAGGTCCGATGTTGAGGTGCGTGGAATAATAAATAGGTTCTGATAGAGTAAGCGGAGACCCGGAAAGATATGGTTGATAGTAAATTTGGATTACCGATTGTTCCATTGAGAAGGGAAGAAGCAAAAGAAACATTGGCCTAATATGACGAGAATTTTTCGGTTTAGCTCAATTATTAAAAAAACTACAAAGAAAATCAAAAAATGATTTTCTATGTCCCCAACTAGATTAAAAATTTAACAAAAAAGATCTATTGTAATTTTTCAATTGGAGCCAGATTTTTGGTAGAAAACATAATTTGTAAAAATAAAAACAATGAAATCGGTAACTCCGCAACGCACAATACAAAATTGCAATTTTAACTGTAATTTTCTTTCGATTTTTTCCCAATTATTTTGAAAACCCCTTGGAAAGTAAAAAAATGAGATTTTTAATGCATCAACTAGACAAAAAATTTTTTTAGAAAAAATACTTTATATTTTTTCTTCTAGTCTGTGGATACGTCTTTTCTTAGTAAACTTGCTCCGATGTATAAATGTAGCACTTTTCTGAAAGCTCAAGTTGTCTAGATTGTCTTTTGAAAAGGTCATTTTGTTATTTACTTTCTTGAGGTATCAATGTTAAAACTTTTGAGCCACATTTAAGCATTTAAGAAATGTTAATTTTTGGGAGTTTTTGCTGTAATTCGGTTTTAAATACACGTAGAGATTTTAAACTTGGTAATAATAGTTATATTGGACTTACCTAGACGTGGTAAAATTTTCAAAATCATCGGATTTTATTTTTAATAGGCGTTCAAATTTAAACGAAAATCGCAAAAAAAATTACGACCTGCGCTCGGAATCGTCTTTTGTCAAGCAATCGTTGCTTATCAATGGTTTATCGTTACTTACAGATATAAATGAAATAACCATATGTATCCTACATTCCCAACTTCTCACCTCAACACAATGGCCGTTTCCATCCACAGTATAAGCTCTTTTTATTTTATAAAGTTTTCTGGTTTTCCAATTATTATGAAAATTAATTTAAAAATGTAAAACTAATTAATTCTCTTAAACTAGATTTAAAAATTCACCAAAAATAACTTTTGTCATTTTTAAATTGGAACGAACTTTTTCTTCAAAAAGATGCTTAAAGACAAAAGAAAAAATAAAAACCTTTATTTCACTCCAAATACAAAAATAGTGGAATGTAGTATTTTTTTTTGTGACTGTGAGCAACTTTTCTACCAGAAAACTTGCTCCGAAGTATCAATTATAGCACGTTTTCTGAAAGGTAGCTTTAGCTAGTTGGCGCATTTGAAGGGGCCATTTTTTTCTAAGGATTTTTCAAAATAATTGGGAAAAATCCGAAAGACAATTATAGGTAAAATTGCAAATATTCACGTGCCATGGCGTTACTGATTTCATTGTTTTCATTTTTCTAATTTATGATTTCTACCAGAAATATTGCTTTGATCGAAAAATGACAAGTGGTTGATTTTGTTCCTATTAACATTTAACCACTGAGGACGAAATTCGTTTTTTTGATATCTAAAGTAGTTTTAATAACAATTTGGGAAAAACCAAAAAATTAAAATTAATTAATATTTACGACAATTTGGAGTCCCATTTTAATTATTTTAAATTTTGCAAACAATTCAATCTTCCAGAAATCTTGCTTCAATTGAAAAATTACTAGAGATAGATTTTGTTCCTTTTAATATTTTTTTTTCTTATTGTTTTGAGATCGTAAATATTACGATTTATTAAATCATCTAATATATATATATATATATATATATACAAAAGAATTTTGCCAGCAATGATTTATCGTTTCTTACAGATATCAGATATGAATTGAATAATTTTATGTATCCTTCCTTCTTAACTCTTCATCTACAACAGTAACGCATCCTTAAGCAATATCATTTCTTTTTATTGATTGTATAACAATACGCGTGAGCGTGTTGCGAAATTGAGAGGTTCGAGAAGATCAAACTGTAGATTGAAAAAGTATAACAAAATCCAAAAGAAAAAAAGTCTATGTATTATAATATATTTTATGTTATGTAGGTTTTTTGCGTTCTTTGACCAATCGTAAATGTATCTATAATTCCAAAAATTATTCGAATATGAGTACAGTTCCTGTCATGGAACAATTTCACACTATGCAATAACTGAAATTGTTGTTTAAAAGTTTAACATACCGAAATAAAGAACTTCCTGAAAAAAATTCAACTTACACTCCTTCGACAACTACGGCAACTCCGGCAGGCTGAATGGCTTGTGTAACGGCTTTAGCAATCTGCTTTGTCAATCGCTCTTGAACTGAACCATCGCAATGTCACACACATATATAAAAACACACGAAACAATACATTTTACTGTAGTAGTACAAGAATGTGAATTAAATTTAAGAAAAATATGTTAAAAAATAAAACGGAAATTTAATTTATTCCAGCAATCTTTAAAATATAAAATTCCTGAAAATTTCACTTATACCTTGATATAATACACTTGTTCCCAGGGTGGGCGGAAGGCGAAGGAAGTCAAATGGGACCTACCTACGGCTTAGCGCTCTAAGGAGCTTTGCGTTTTTAGGTTCTGAACGGAACGAAAAATGTGTTAGTTTTACTACGATCTGTAATGATTTTTTTTGTATCTGAACAATTTATCATTTTTAGTGATATTTAACACTTTTTAGGTGCATGTACTTACACATTTGTTTACCAATACCTACACCACTGAGAGTACAGTAATGAATTATTAATTAATATTACATAGGAGAAACCACTTTTATACCAGAAATTTTACTCTGATCACCTGACTACCTTTATGGGTGGACAGTTTTGACTATTTAGAGTATTCCAGTATTTAATTGTTTGTAATTTAAAACATATTTATACTTATGAAGTTATAAATTATTCAACGAAAAAATTGAACTTTAGTTACTCTTTAGAGTATGTGTTCTTAATGATACGTTTAACATTTTCCAATACAAGTTAGTGAAAAGTTTTTGTACTTGAAAACATTAATACCACTGAAATTTGCGTACCTGGAGGGGGGGGGGAGCTAGAAGAGTTATTTTAGCTATACCACTGTATGATCGTGTTAAATACAAAAAAAAAATGTATAAACTATTCAGCATTAAAAAATGATCGATATTTTTATAAAATTAAATTCGATTATTGTTGGCTTTTTATACTAATGTACAATTTTATTCCGATCTATATGAAACACTGCAATTTTGACATTAAAAACAAGAGGAAGGTCGTTGTATATTTTAGATTCTGAGTGGAGCAAAGAAGTTTATGGTTTTACAAAGAACTTTTTTACCAGAAAAATTGCTCTGATTTTTACATGTAGCGCCTTTTCTGAAAGAAAATTAGTATAAGGAGATACTTTAAGGAGGTAATTTATCGATTTTTTCAAGAATTTTCTCATCAAATGTGAAAAACCTGGAAAAAACACGGGAAATCGGTATATTAAACAAATATTATTGAAGATAATATAAAATGCTTATTTATTATAATTTACCACAACATGACATATATACAGTTAACAAAGCATCACTATCAACTAAACTCGGCTCAGAATCGTTTTTTCGTTAGCAATGGTTTATCGTTGATAACGGATATATATTAAAATACCTGTTACAGTGAATGCACCCGTCCCCATTATCCTAGGAAGTTTACTTTTATCTCGAAGTTTAACTTCTAAATTGTGGCTCACTCAGAATTTTTTTTTTTTGGAACGAAAATCGAACTTGTTTTGTTGATATATGGGTTACCTTAACTTTAGCAACACGCATAAAAATAAGTAACAATTTTATTTTATAAAAATATGACGTTTTAATATATAAGTATTATACATTAAATTTAGTTTAAAAAGTAGTGAGTAGGTAGTACATTGTTGTTATATTATGTATTTATTATTCATCTAATATGTTTAAATAACAATAACAGTTATAATAATAATTCGGTACTTAGAGAAGAAGTGAGTAAAATATGTCTCTTTGGTTTTCACTATTGATATAAACTATAAGGTATTTTCAGAGATTGTAGTTCACTCTTCCCCAATACATTTTTCCAATTAATTTTTCTTAATACATTTTTCTCAATTTTAATTTTTTTAAATCTAGTATTCTAACTATAAAGTTATAAAATGTTATTGGTGAATTTATATAAAACACTTGGGTATATAGATTTTAGTGATTTTACCTTGAAGTCTTCTGCTGAACATTTCCACAATACGAGCAAGTTTGCTCAGTCCCAAAATTTTGTTTTTCGGCAAATATCCTATAGAGACTTTTCCATAAAAAGGAACCAAATGATGTTCACACATACTGAACATTTCAATATCTTTTACCACGACCATTTCGTCGTGGTCCTCGTCGAACACCGCGTCGTTGAGTACCTCTGAAACACAATAAACATTAAACATAATATTATTACAACCATAATCTCGAAAATATTCCAGTAACGAAGCATGGTTTAGATATAAATATTCCGATGTAGTGATTTGAGTTATATAATTAGTATTTATTCGCAGAACTTATAATTAAAAAACCGCTGATTATAAAATTGGGCACATCCATATAGTTATAAACTAATTTAAATCTCAAGGCAAGAAAATGCTTAATATTTTGGACATATATATGTTTTGAAAATCGGAAACTCAGCCGACGAGTATCGACAATCTCTAACGTATTATAGGTATTAGTTTATTAAGTGATTTATATTATGAATAGCCGTATTATTGCATATATTTATTTATTTAATTTATTTTTGGATATATATGTCAAAATACAATATAGTATAACAAAAATATATATATATTGTCAGATAAAAAAGACCAAATATTGAAAAAAAATGCATAATACAACTTTTAAATAAAACTCTGCATAATACAGATTATATTTTGACATTTTAATAAGTTTGTTTGTCGTATTATCTGTTTTAGAGCTTAATTGAAAAATGTGTACATTAAAGTATATTATAATAATACACCTACCTAACAATATAAGTCACCAAAAAACCATATAGATAATAGATTATAGATAATAATATAATTATGGGGAGGTAATACAGCCAACTTGTAAACGCATATTAGAGAATTCAATACATTATGATATAAAGCAAATAATTCTATTAATTAAATATTATTTTTAATCGATAAAGTAATCAAAATAGATTTTGACGAGTTTGCATTTGATTTATAAGACAAGACACACCTAGTTATTCAAATAAATGCGTTATTATAGAAAAATAATAAGAAACAAAAAACTCTTGGTGCTTGTTTTTACATTAATCAATTTTTAAAAATATAAAAGAATAAAGTTATACCATCGTCTTTCTTTAAAAACGACTTTTTTATGTCGCCTGTTCTTTATTATAATAATATATAAATTAACATACAGAGTAGGTAGATGCTTTTGAAGTGTACATCTGCTCTTTATCAAATGTCACCCTCAGATATCGTTTAAATTCGTTTACAAAGTAGGTAAGTTATAATAATTGGTCTCTTTGTGCGGGTATAAATACGAGGCTAACAATGGAAGTTTTGATCCAATTTAAGGGACGGGCGAAATATTAGGTACCTAAATGTAAAATACTCTATACTACCTCCGTATAATGTTTAAAAAGCAATCTCGGCAATAAACTATTATACTTCTAACAAAAAAATATTATTGCTATAATATTATTATATTATAGTCTATCGATTATACAATATTTATATGTGCCGAAACAACACCAGGTAGGTATAATAATGACATGAATGTCTGTATCGAATAAAATATTCGATAATTTTCCCTATTTGGGTAACTCTTGGTTTTTATAATAACCCGTACTTAGTTTATTAGGTTTTAATTATTTTTTTTTACTGTCAAGGTCGAGGTTTTTATGGACTAACAGTTGTTATTATTATAGGTATCGGTATATTATAATATAATATGTTACTCAGTATTGGCAGATTGCGAGCAACTTAACAAAGCGGGAAAACGCGTAGGTATGACGTTTTAGGTATTCCCCTTCTACCTCTCCAAAAAAAATAAAACATTTTCGTATATTATTTCCAAAGAGAATATACTATATTTGATTTTGATTTGAAATTAAAAAATAGGAAAATCGTTTGATTTTCATTGCAGTCTTATATACAATCAAAAGATATAATATTATAACATTTTAATATTATTATAAAAATCGCCACTTTGACCGTTTTTAGATAAATATTATACGAGTATTAAAACACATTTCGGTTTAATTTCCGAAGCACTTTAATATATGGATTGGAAAATATTTCTGTACGTAATTAAATTTCGAAATTCACTCAGAACCGGTCACCACTGTGGCAGGAAACAGCAAAGTTTACATTAATTACAATTTATGTTTATAATAAATAATCCTAATTATAGTTGTAGTTGTCAGTCATTAGATTAGGAGTTTTTTTTTTTTTTGTATCATTGGATTCATAGTATATTATATTATATTTGTGTTCATTTTTCAATACTATGTTTATGAAGAGTTTTGACAAGTATACTTTTTAAAGGTTAAAACGTTTAGACTACATATAAAAAACCAAATTCATAATTTTAAAATCAAGTAAAAAAAAAGTAAAAAATACTGGATACGGATATGGCCACTAATGTAAGTGGGTAGTTGAAAAATTTGGATACATAAAATTAATTAATTAAACGATAAACCATTGCTAACGAAAAATGATTTGGTTATAAATGTTTTAAAAGTTTGTAATATTTACGATTGTCGTCAAAATTTGATTGTATCACTTTTATAGAAAAAAAAAAAATATTACATACACTCAATTTTTATTTCTGAATACTAAGTACGGCATAGAATAAACATTCTATTAAATTTGTAAGTATTTTTGTTTAGTCCAACAATTTTATCCACAGAGTACCTATAAAATAAAAATTGCATAAAAATTTGCAAAATTTAAATGTCTATATTTAGCTCAAAAATGGCTCAAATATTTTAAAAATTTTAGCACGTCTAGAAAAAACAAATATAAGTGTTTTCTATCAAAATTTAAAGTATCTATGAATATTTTTAAATTAAATTACATGTAAAAAAATCTTTGAAATAATAAGAGAAATATTTTCGTAAATTTGTCCGTTCTGTCTACATATTTTTCGGTTGAGCTCAATTATTAAAAAAACAATTTTCTATGTCAACAATTAGATTTAAAATTCAACAAAAAAGATCTGTTGTCATTTTTCAATTGGAGCAATATTTTTTGTAGAAGCCATAAAAATTTAAAATAAGGAAATCGTTTCGTAATTTGGAAAAAAATCGTTTTTTTTTTTTGGTTTTTCTCAATCGTTATGAAAACAACTTAAGATATCAAAAAAAAAAAAAAACCTATCTGTTAATAGTGAAATATTTAAAAAATAAAAGGAACAAATTCTATCTCTAGTCATTTTTTCGGAGTAATACTTCTGATAGAAAATATCGTATAAATAAATTAAAAACAATGTTAACAATAACACCATGACGTGCTATAGATATTTGTCATTTTACTTACAATTTTCACTCAGGTATTTCTCAATTATTTTAAAAATTTCTTGGAAAATCAAAACATTACCTCCTTATTAAACCAACTAGACAAAATTTCGTTTCAGAAAAGTGGCTACACTTTGGAGCAATATTTCTTTTCAAGTTGTTTAAAGACAAAAAACAAAACACACATATCATAGTAAAACTAATGAAATCCCTCGTTACAATCCGAATCTAATAAAATGTGTATAATGCGTATTATGTATACATGTATAATAGATAACATAGAAATATAATAATTAAATTTATTATTCATGACGTTTTAAAACAATGTTATATTGTTATAAAACAATGTGTGATAATAGTAAGTAGAGACTACTTACTAGTAAGTAGACTTATCTATTTTATACTGTGATTAATACTACGGTCATAGATAAATTATTATTTTTATCTATAATCGTCATTAATATAACGAATAGTTAAAGACACTGATTATAATCAATACGCTAGTATATGGACGAACAGGTGGGGGTATGACGCGATGTTCTTATTTTAAAATAATATATTAGATACAACACACTTTTCTATTTCTTAGCCATTCTACTGTTTATTGTTGCATAAAATATATATTAATATTATACTATGTCAACCATCCTGTGCACATAAGAATCGAATCGTATAATTAGAAATACATCTAATTACGACAATGATGGTAATTAATATTAATCATTTTATTTCGAAATTTTATACACTTAACCCAGTCTAAGGTGTAATCATTAAAATTGCACAATAAAAAAATAAAACAAAACGATACGTGACTATATTATTATATTATAATATACAAAAGCGAATTTATTAAGCATACCTTCAAAATATATGACAATAAAACGTACAGGTGATTTTTTTTTTTATCATGAACCAACAATTTTCTCGGATAACTTTAAGTGAATTTGATTTCTGTTTTTTTTTCTTTTTTAATCATTATAAAATTGTTTAATCTTTATTGTAAAACCACTTCTAATTTTTATCTCTACACCATAAACCTTTAATAAGTACATATTTTTGTTTTTTTTCAAATAGGAACTCTCTTTTTTGAACACTGATTTGAATAGAGAACATATTCTACAAATTTTGATATGTATTTTTCTAATATCACATTTACAGTTTATGAGTTATTACAGTTTAAAATTTAGACTAGAGGAGTAGGGGAGGGTAATAAATTACATATTATCTATTTTTAAATGATAAATTGATAACTCTTCCCTACGCTTCCGGTCTAAACTTAAAACTGTTCTAACTCAAAAATGATAAATCTAATATTATTCTCTATTTGAATCTGTGTTTAAAAAGGGTGACTTACAATTTGAAAACCAAAAGTATGTACTTATTTAAGGTATATGGAGTATAGGTAAAAATTAGAAATGGTTTTAAAATAAAACTTAAAAGGACGTCACACCGCATCTATTACTGTCTCCATCATACAAATGCAAGACACAGGTAAAAAAATTTGCGTTCAGTAGGACACATTTTGTGCCATTAGTTTTAATATTAAAGCAAATTGACTTTTTGTCAAAATTAAATGTAAGAAAATTACATGTGCTTTGATGTTTTTTCGATATTTTTATTTTCAAGCGAGATATGAGTATGTGAAATACCTCAATTTAAAATTGATTATATCTCGCGTTTGAAAGATGGAGACAGTTAATGATACGGGTGTAGAGTCCTTTTAAACGATTCCACAGTAATTACAAAAAAAAAAAACAGAAATCATATTCACTTAAAATTATCCGAAATAATTGCTGGTTCATGATCAAGAAAATCATTCTGTATGTAGGGAAATAAAACACACCAAAAACATTTTTCGGTATAAATCTATTTTGGATTTTAATTGAACATAATATATTATAAAAAAAATGTATGGTTTATTAATATTGCAATTAAACTACAAAGTCACTTTATTATTCAGACGCTGTATTTTAGTAGATATTATGTTATATCAATTAATATATTATCATTTACTAATAGATATTTATTTTATTATTGAATATTGCTATAATTGATATATTTTATCTAAACACTGATTAACTATAAAATTGTAAAATCTTAAAAAACGGTTTGCATAATAAAATTTAGGTTTTTAATAAGAACATATACCTAAATATTATACTAAGTATAGGTCATGTAACTATATTAAATCGTTCGTATTGAAAATATAGTATATATATATATATATATATATATATATATGTTAATAAAGCAGTATTATAGTAGATGGACAGTGCTGTGGGATGGGAATGGGCTGCCATTCAATCATAACGTCGACAACCACTTATAGTCAAACGAACGTTTTACAATAATAATATCTCTAAAGTACGATGATTTAAAAGCTTTTCTGCCTCGTTTTATATAAATGACGGCAATTTTCAATTTGCCGTTGCCAAGGTAACAGTGCGTAGACGGTTTATCAGTATTATTATCGGGTCGATATGTACCTAAATATATATATATATATTGAAAAATACATTTATTTAAGTTCCAATAAAATATATAAAACGGGTGTATTATAAGCACAATAAGCATCGAACAATATTGGAATTAGATTTATTTTTCTTAATAAATATAGTTTTATCGTTTACATATTATAATAACCGTCGTGCAGAAAATTATTAATTTCCTGTTGGAGAATATTGTCTATTACTTTTTTTTTTTTATAAATACAGGTATGTTATACGTTAAATCCATAACTCGTCTTTCTAAATGATTGAACGCAATACTATTACATTGAACCGATAAACTTATTTCGCATCCCTGTGAATAAAATATAATATTATATTACTGCAAAATAATATGGCTTGAAGCGTTATGTAATTATTAATCAGATCAGAACAATAGAAAAGATGAAGTGACTAAGGTATTTGATTTGAGTGTCGTCGCAATGAAGGCATTAAACTTTGATACATTTTTTAAACAAAAAATATTTGACTAACTACTTTCAGGTAATACAATAGTCTTCCTAAAAAATAAAAAAAAAAAATGGCACTTTTAGCTATTTAATTATCTAGGTAATATTAAGAATTATTGTTATTAATATTGTTATAACATTTTAATTTTTTTAGATTCGAACCGTAGCGAGGGATCTATTGGCTTTATTTTGATGCGTTTTTTTTTTTTGTGCCCGTCAACAATTTTTCTATCAGAAATATTGCTTCGAAGTATCTAGTGTTTTTTATAAAAGGTGGTGTCATCTAGTTGATGTATTGAAGAGGTCATTTTTTTTTATTTTCTAAGGGGTTCTCAAAATAATTGGGAAAAATCCGAGAGAAAATTATAGGTAAAACGGGAAATATTTACGGCGTGCCATGACGTTATCGATTTCATTAACGGTTAACGGGTGCTAAGTGAATACGAATCATAAATTAAAAGACATTTGATTTAACTGAGTACCATTATAGTATATTATTATTAACACCAGTGAGCGATTCTAGTGACCATAACTGTTAGATAGATTATAAAAAATATTGTGAAGATAACATACATAAAGTTACTTAATTGATATTCATATTCAACAATAAATCATTGCTAACAAAAAAATGATTCTAAGCAGAACTCGTTTAGGCAATTCTTTAAAACAAATTACAACAAACCACATATTAATTTATGAATAATTGTATAGTAAACCATCACTCATCAACGTCATTTGAATTATTTAAATATACACTATTACCGTAACCATTGCTACAAATTTATGGCATCGCTTTATATAAAATTATTACGTCTATAAAAGTAATTCTTGGACAATTTTCAGATTAGTACGATAATTTTTAATCAAATTACATTAAACTATAAAATATTAAAACAGTACATTTTCCTGTTTTTCCTATAGACTATTCCAGGTTATCCTGATTATTAGGAAGACTACAAAAAAAAATTTAAAAAATGCTCACTTCAATGCAATAACTACATCCCAAGTTCAATAAAAAAAAAAAGATCTCTTGACATTTTTTGATTTGAGCATATTTTCTGGTAGAAAATTTGTTAACAGACAAATATAAAAAGCACACATCCTATAATAAAATCAATGCTTTCCTCATTGCACTTAAAATCTAAAATATATTCGATTTTAGTGACCAGGCTTTGTAGTTCATTGGTGATTTTTTAATTTGATTTTTTTTGTATCTTATATGCCAAATGTATTAGTACAAATGAATAATACAAATGGGTACATGTTAAATTAAAATGATAGCCGATAGTCGATATTTTTTTCAAATGCGTATTTTAAAATAAATTCATGTATTTTTTTTATGATTTTAAAAGTCTATTTTGGTACATGTGGTATTTGAAATTAAGTAATTACGTATTACTCATATATTTATATTATTTGAAGGATGTTAATAATTATTTAACCGCACAGGTAGTTTAATAGTTTCGTGTACATATATATTTTGTGTGTGTATAAATTCGTACCTACTAAGTTATAACTTAGGTGTATAGTGATCATGGATCATGTTAAGATATACGGGTAAGTACCAACTACTTTAGTGCCTTTCGGGACACTTGTTTTTCAAACATTACAATTTACATATCGGCATGCGTTTAGAATGTATTTGCTCGGTAGTATAAACAATATTATTAATATCTGTATAACATTGACACGTTAAATTTCGCCCAAGGCTATTGCACGAATCGTATAATAGTTGGTATCCAAATTACACCGGATTTTATGTTTATTAAAATATGCGTTAATTGAAAATTATGGCTTGTATTTTTTGATACAGCCGGATAAAATACTTATATCCATAACACTATTGTACGATTAAAAAAAATATATATATATCTATATTATAATAGAACGATAAGTAATGTTGAACTCTCGATATTTAAAAATAATAAGCACATAGCGAAAATAATCATTAAAATGTTAGAAATATTATTATGTTACCTAAGTATACTTAGGTAATGTATAGTACCAAATAATTTTCAAAAATATGAGTTGGTTTGTTAATTTTAAAAATCAATAGTTAAATTCGTACATTCAAACCGATTATTATTCTAGAATAATATTATAAGACGACGTTTTTTTTAAAAAAAATTATTTTCATTTTTCTTAATAAATGGAAAAACTGGCTAATAGTTATATAATTTTTGTTGATTACTGGATTGCCTTGGAATAAGATAAAAAATGCGATTAATAATACTCTGCTCAGTATGTATCGTTTTTTGTTATTAATAGTTCATCATTGCGTACAGATCTAAACAAAATTATTCTAAATATCGTACCTTCCAACTTCCTCCCTAAAACTTTGGCAGCACCCCTCAGCTGTTTTCAGTTATCATTTATCGAGATAATTACCCACTTAAACGATTTATATTTTTTGCAGTGATCAAAATGTTGATCTAGATAAAATAAAAGATTACCAATTTTAATATCTATATAAACCTCTACACTGTCGTATGCACAGCATATAAATGCATTATTAATAGATTTGCAATTTAAATAGATAATTTTAAGTCGTATCATTTCAGCGTACGTAAAATATTTATGTCTAAGTGTATTATTTTACGTCAAAATTGAATTACTGAGTACTAATGAATGCACAGTTCATATTTTAAGATAGTACAGCGCAATGTAATTATAATCCGTGAATATTATACCTAATATTATTATTGAACACGATGTAATTAATTATAGTGCTATTTAATTTTCTTGAATCTCCTCCCGCCCTTTGACAAGAATTACGCAAAATATTATGTTTGTTACCCACACACGTATATTATAGTACCTATGAAGGTTGTAGATACTAAACTATGACGTTGATAAATTAAATATATTATTAAATTTTTGAATACTATATACGATTAAGAAATATACTATTCTATTCATAATATATTATTTTTATAATATAATACATCTATAGAGAAATTGGGTGTTGATGGTCACCTATAGATTTTGTCTTTCTAAAATAAAACAACTGCAATTACGTAAAACAATAAACATTTAAAATATTATGCGTAACTATATACGATTAAATAACTATTACATAATAATGGGTTATTGAGTTGAGTAGATTAACTCTTTTGTTATAAAGTTATAATGTATATCGTATATACTATATTATGTTGTATGTGCGTGTATTATTCCAAATTTTTAACTAACTTCAAAAAAAGAGGAGGTTTCGGGTTTATACTCAACGCGTATGTTTATTTTTTTATGAATGTATGTATTTTTGCGTATACCAATAAATACTTATATACATACGTTTAGATATTTTTTTGAAAGATCACTATGGGATTCCATATAAATTTGATCAAAGTTTGATCACGGAACTTAAACTTTAACAAAATACAAAATATATTAACCATTTCTAGATGTAGTAACTTTTTCAAAACATTCGAGCAATTTTTAAGCAATAATAGACATTTGACATTTTCTAGTTTTTATTTGCTTTTATGTGTGTACAATTGTTATAGTCGAGCAGAAATGCTTATACAAGCTTCAACATAAGTTGTACTTGGTAGTTAAAAATATTAAAATTCAAGTGTAATGTAGTAGGTTTTTTGTATAAGCATTTTAAGTTCAAATTTTAATGAAAACCTTAAAAATTACGACATTTAAAAACATGTTTAACCAAACATTGTTTAGAATAATTTTCGATAGAAATAATTTACCGTTTTGTACTCATATAAATTAAGTAACTCTATGTATTCTACTTGAGTCATGTGTTTGGGTGAATTACCTTTCTTCCCGATTAATAAAAACAGTGTGTTTGGATGAGTTCCTATTATAATGTTTTTAAGCAAATTTATAATAATGTGATTGAGTGAGTATGATAGGTACAATGTAAAATTTAAAAGATACAATTGTAAACAGCAGATACTAAAAATGCCATAGAATACCTGCACATAATATTTCAGAATTAGCTTTTCTGTAACATCAATTAGATAAGATAACGAAAGTTGTGATTTTTTCTTGTATCTAAGTATTACATTCAACTAAATTTAGTAATTATATTTTTATAAATAACAATTTTGTTCGTAAATTAGAAGTGTGAACTCATTATAATGTTAATACCTGGTTATTAATTGTTACAAGTAGTGTACCGAATATGAATCTTGAAATAAAAAACATTTTTCCTGCAAAATGAAATAAACGATACATTTCGATTAAAAATGTTTAATTCACGAACAGTCCCAAGTCTGTCGAAATGAGAGGAAAAATATACTGTTAAAAATCGCCCAAACACATATACACATATTAATTTGTTTATAACTCGGATAAAAATAAAAACATAATTGTGAAAATAAAATAGTTCAATTTGAAATTCCTTATTAACAAATTCAACCTTGCAAGTACTTCTAAGTTTTCAAACGTCAGTGTATTCAATTCAAATTTAATTTAAGTAACCAAACTGATTAAAATAAAAAAAGTCAAACTTCAAGAAACACGAAAAGCTCTAAAATTATAAAGTAATACTTTTAAGACTTATTTATTTAAAATCCATAAAAGTAATTTATGAATTTATAATATATCAAGAAATGGCAAGTCGAAATATTACTATTGAAATTCGAATAGGTATAAATAAATATACAAGCTTCCCGGAAAGTCGTGTCAAGAACTTCGTTATATACTTAATAATTTTAATTAGAACTTGTGTGCTAAATTTATATTATATTTGGTTTTAATTTTATTTTTTTTGACGGCTAAATGAAACATATTTACATTTAGAAGAGTTAACAGTCGAGTTTTAAAGAAAATACATTATCCATAAACACTATACTTAAAATATAATATAATCAAAATTAAAATATATTAACAAAGCATAAAATAAAATTCTCTATTATATTAATATAGTACCAAGTGAATTTAACTATGTTTTCATTATAATGATATAATTATACATCATAAATTTTATTTTAAATACATTTTTTTTTTTAAGGAAGCCTTTTATCAATACATTTAACACTGATTATAAGACCCACGGATATTAGATTCAAAATTACTTGGAACGGTCCAGATATATCCAAATACATTTTATCCTTTCTTCAATTCGCCTATAAGGTTCATTTGGTTATAAGACCCACTTTGCGTTGATCCCAAAGCGAATCTTTTAACTGATGCCCACTGTATTATGAAAAAGAATATGTAAATCCAATTTTGCAAATTAATTTAAATTCGTTTTTTTAATGAAAAATAAGAAAAAAATAAAATGAGATTTTATGAAAAATGAAACGTAAATGCATAAAACTAAATAATTATGAAGATTTAATAATACGTATAATATTAAATAAAGTAACATAAATAATCAAGTGTATTATATTTCGTGGCTCAAGTTTATGAATATATAATTAGTACTAAAAAAATAATTATATAAAAATGTAATTTCTTTCAAAGTCCAGTAAAGGTCAAACAAATGTATACTGGCAAGAAATAGTAAAATAACGAAATTCTATATTTATACATATAACTATTTACTATATGGTAATCCAAGTCTAGGAAGAAAAAAAAAACGAAAAATTGTATACGAAAGGCAGTGATTTTCACTATTTCCATTGACGTTTGAACTTAAAACGTTTGTAAAAAGAAACTTCATCAACGTTGTTCTTTTGACCACGAAGTACAACTTATGATGAACTTCTTAAATAATTTCTCAGCATTTCTGCTCAGCTAAAACAATTTTATTCACAATAAAACTGAAAGAATTTGAACAATTGACAATTTGAAATAGCTATAAATAACTTAAAAATATCCAGAAAGATTTTAAAATTTTACTACGTCTATAAAAAGCCAGTAGGTGGAAGTTTTCTGCGCAAATTTAAATTCTCTATGATTATGTCTAGAACATTATTACAGTAATAAATTAAAATCTAAAATAATAGAAATATTTCGCATATATTTTTATTTTTCCCGCGTTTTCCCCGGATTTTCCCAATTATTAAAGAATTTACAAGAAAAATCGATAAAATGACCTCTTCAATAAAATATAAACTTGTTGTCAAAAAAAGTTGCTACATTGCAGAAAAATCAAATAAAGGTATCTGGTAGAAAAGGCCGTTAACATATGGAAAAAAAATAAATAAAAATGAACATGCGTCGTAGTAAAACCAATACATTCTTCAAAATCTAAAGATCAAATAAATGGCATAATACAATATTATGTTAGTTATTATACCATAGTGTGCGCAAAATGACCAAAATCAAAACATTTTCATATCATCACTACTTATCCATACTAAGTAATAATATACTCGTATATTATAATATTAATATAATAGTGATGTTACAATATTGTATTATACAACGGGATACACGAACCGAAACAATTGTTTTAATGCGAATTTGATGAGTCACGTCACGTCCATTTCGGTATACATATATATTGGTATTTAATATACATATACAAGCAACCTGATATACGGTTTTAATATGTCATAATAATAACAATAATAATACTGCGATGACGCGGATTTCGGCCCTATACGTACACCGCAATTTTTTTACCCGACACGCATAACGAATTACACCGTATTGCACTTAAAAACCGAGCGTATTTTGAAGATCAACGACGTTGGTCGCGGCGCGAAAAAAAAAGGGCGGGGTTACGAAGGTGTATTATATTCATGTATTATTCAATAAACCGAAGCCTTTTACACATATTATATGTATTATATATATATATATATATATACACCGATCGTCGAGACAGCCACCGCTTCTACAGTATATCTAGAAAACGGGACGAATTCAATTACAGTGAAACGTTTTCGAAATCTCCGACACTTTGCTGTTTATAATCAGATGAAGTATAGTTAGGTATACCGTATATACCTGCATAATATAATATGATATTATATAGGTACTTGTATTTTCTATTATACTACCTATATAATATTAATATTAATAGTGTACCGGGCAACGATGATTTCTCGGGTCGAAAACGAATAATAATATCAAGGTTAAAATATTATTATTTATCGTTGGGAATACTTATAATGATATATCACGAGAAAAAAAAAGGTTGTTTTAAACGACGGTCGTAGATATATATGTTTTTACAACGTTCGTATAAAACTGAATTTGAATGCGTACCTACCTGTAATATAGCTACAATATAATTGCTGCAGCACAGAGTATAAGGCTGTTTATATGCCACTACTTATATATTATACTATCTTACACAAAGACACAAGAAAGTCGTTTTGTGATAGTAAAAGCTATATCACGGCAAACCACTATACACCTAAACGGTTTTTTTTTTTTTTTTTTAATTATAAGCTTCTGAAAATTACATTTTTATCGTTAAACTGGTCTCATATTATATACATATATATATATATATATATATTAACAATATAGGTACAGCACGTGTGATAACATTTTGTTCGTTTTCATATGTTTTATATGATGTAGACATTTGGTAATAATAACTATCTATATTTCGATTAAATTTTAAACGTGTAAATTATAAATTCAGTAATGTACAAAAGAGCACTTAATAATATTATGTAGGTATAGGTAGGTATAAGACTGAAATTAAAATATATTTTTTATAGAATCACTGCTAAGATAAGGAAAAAGAAATAAAATCGTTTTGTTGAACCTTTCAAATCGCATTTGACACTTATCGTTTTAATTTGTATAATGATATAAAATTAAAAAACACACGTGTACGAATGTATAGTAAAAAAAGACATCACGTAATAATTAATTAAAACGACTCGTTCATTTAGTGAAGATAAAAACAAATAATAAATACTTTCGGTTATCCAAGGATTAAAATAATATATAATATCGAATACATCATTGGAATATTAGTCAGTACCGAATGAAAATACATCGAATGACATCAATTGGTATATTACATAATGTTATATTCTATTTTATTTATTCGAAACGTACCTAACAGTCATGATTTTGAAAAAAAAAATATTTTTTGTTTAAGCCCGTTTGTATTTCCATGATTTTCTTATTGTTTGAAACACATTTTAGTTTCAAATGATCCATGGTATAGCTAGGATATAAGTAAATTTTACGCTGTTACTTTCAAATACTTATTTTCTAAGCACAGCGATGAATGTATTAATTTTACAATGATATTTACTTTTTTATTTTTCTGTCAGTTACTAACTTTTTTACCGAAAAACTTGCTCCTATCAAAAAAATTACGTAAGAGCTTTTTGGTAGTATTTTAGATCTAATTGGTACATCGAGGATACCATTTTTTTTATTTTCCTTTCAGTTTGCATTTTATTTGTGAAAACCGGAAAACTCGTATGTAGGAAAAACAGGCAAATGTACAGCAATAAAAAAATTGCATTGTTTTTTATTTTTTTTATTTTTTTCCTAGCAGAAAGGTTTTTCCAAAATTCAAGTATAAAACCATTTTTGAAAGGAAATGTTGTGTAATTAGTGCATGAAAAATTGTTTTTTAATTTCCAAGTAGTTTTTTTTCAACAACTAGAAAAACCTAATAAAACCGGAAAGTTAAGTGAAATAACGGTTTCATTATTTTTGATTTGGTTTTATTGTTGAAGTTTATTGATTTTTTTCTAGGCATAATAAAATGTTCAAAACGTTCTAGTAATTTCTAAGCTATTATATATTTTAATATATATATGGACATTTGACATTTTCGAGTTTTTTTAGTTTTTATTTAGATAAAATTATTTAGGCTGATCAGAAATGCTTGAAGATTTTGTAAAGGGTTAGCCATAAGTTAGTTTACTGAATGGTAAAACAAATGTGATTATTTTTTTTATATACCTACACTTCAAAAGTTTACATTTAAATGGAAATCATACAAATTACATAATTTCGCGTACTATTTTTCTATTTACATGAGTATAATTTGTTGATCAATCCAAAATGTTTGAAAATTTAACATGATTTCCTGTAAGTTGTATTTGATGATAGAAAATAAAAGTTAAACATAAAATATCTTTTTTATAGGCCTTTTAGGTCAAATGATGACGAAAATTATAAAAACCACAGTATTTCAAAATATATTTAACCGAACTTCACTTAAAATCGTATATCTTCAATAGTAAATGATCGTTAAAATTAATTACCTATACTATGTATCTTATAAACCTTTCCAACTTCCCATCTATATCAGTATAGCACACCCATCGACAGTATCAACTTCTTTTTATATTGTAAATTTATATATACATTTTGTATATATATATATATATCGTATATAGTTACATTTTACAGGGTGTGTTGGATGAAAATTAATAATTCTAACTAAGGATGATGTGCGATTCGATACCTTGATGCCTTCAATATACTAAAGACGGTATTGAATATCAAAATCGAGGTTATTTTTTTTATAGCGATTTAATATTTTATTACCTATGTTAAAATTATTATTTGTATTATTAATTTTAGTACTTAAATAGATTTGATTTAAAAAATTAGTATTTTTTATTTTATAATTTGTGTTTTTATATTTAAATTCTAAATAATTTTCAACTACTTATTTATAATATTAATTAAAATTAATGATTAATACGTTTATAAATATAATGTTATAATGATAGAATATTTATAAATATTTTTTTTGTTTTTATTTTTAAACAAAAGTATCAAAAATTGAGTATGCAGGTATTGAGTATCGCGTATCGAAATAAAACGAGTACTGAGTATCGAATTTTAAATTCTTGGTATCATCTATCTTCAATTTTATTTACTACGCTATAAAATACTATATAAAATAATTTATTTATTTTTTATTTTTTAGATAGTGCTTAATTTATTTTATTTATAAAAATCTTTACTCGATACTATAAAATTTCACTTCCAAGTGAAATTCACTTCTTGTTAAAGCAACTGGTTTTTATGCTATTTAGATCAATTATTTTAAATAGCTTGTTTAGTATACTGTTTGATTAACTTAGTTATTTAATGCAGTGTTTTAAACAATAGCTAAAAACAAAATGTTCCAAGTAATATATTAACTTTGGAACGTATACATTTAGAGGGTGTTCCATCCTTTGCGATATCTCAGAAATTATATACTTTTTTTGTTGAAAGTTTAAGAAAAAATCAGCTCTCAAATGTTACGTATTTATTAATTTTTGTCACTTTAATTTTTGGGGATACCTACTCTTGATTTTTAAGTAGCCACTTATACTAAAAATTGTATAATTAGATGGAATTAATTAAAATAAATTTTGCTGTTGAAATGTTTGATTAGAGATATTCCACTTTTAAGTTTTGGATAGTTTAAGTTGGAATGTAGTGAATAGTACTAATCAAACGCCACGAATTCTGCTATCGTATAAATGATACTCCACTACTCTCCCCTGCCTAAACTTATAAGTGGAATATTTCGTTAACGGGTAAAAGGAAATAAAACGATTGCAATACCAAAATGTATTGTATCTAATATTCCATTTATTTATGGAATTTTTAATATAGGTCACTCTTTGAAAATCCAAAGTAGGTAGTCGTTAATAGGTTGACGGTAAAAATAATAGCAATGTAACATTTTAGAGCTCTTTGTTTTAGATTTTCAAAAAAAAAATTTCGAAAATGTTAGATAATACTTCCCAAGATGTCACAATAGAAAAATAAAACTTCATAAAACTCAATGTATAGACTCACTGTATGTGAAGAATGAAATACAATTGAGTATATGTTTTTCCACTCTAAATATTCAAAATGATATTATTTAAATAAGCCACTATCATTGTGCATGATATTCGCCCGTCACCGCGTGCCTAAAGGCTGAAATCACATTGATATCTCCCTGATCGAGATTAATTCATATTTTTTCTTCTTCTTCAAACTCGATTTTTCAAATTTGTTTTGTCACGATAAATAAATGAATAATTAAACAATATTATTAAGAGTAGATATTAAGAAACCTATTAATTTAAATAATCGCAATGGCCACGCCCCATTATTATATTTGCAGGGTAAATTATTGCTTGTTAAATTTTTTTTAAACAAATTTTCTCTTAAACCTACTATTTTATTTATAATTATTATAATCGAATGTTGAAAGGGACAAAAAATATAGATGAAATAGTGTCTTTAATTTTACCTATATGCAAAAAAAAGAGTACCTTTTACACACTATTGTAAGGATGTAATATAATATCATATTAATACATTAATGTATTATAAAAAAGTTGATAAGATATATCTATGTAGGTATAGTTTATAAATAAGTAGTGGCCGGTTTTCAACATTTTCTGAGAAGAGGGTCCAAAGAAATCGTGTATTTCAAAGGTATTATTTTCAATCAATAACTGTCTTTTAGACATTTTATGGAAATTATATTAATGTCTGGGAAGGGGAGGGGATCGAGACCTCCTAGACTAAATCCTGAATGAATCCGCTGCTGTATAAGTTAAAAAAGCTGTTAGCTACCTGTTAGCGTCTGATCGTAGCCTTTTGTGAAGAACAGCATAGCCTTGGCAGCTCTCTCCGGGGTCTTCAGCAATCCTTGACGTTCCGGATTTTCGCCAAGTGCGCTCAACAGCATCTTGTACGAGCCCGTCATATCAGGCAAGAGAGCTTCCCGGGTAGGTGGCTTGTGATCCAGCTCCAAATCGTGGTGAAAAGCGCAGTTCTCGTGACCTGTGAACATATTATATAATTTCGCGATTGGTTTAAAAAAAGAAAAAATTATTTGTATTTTCCACCAAAAATATATTTTATTCACCTTATTTTCTAAGTAAGTCCTACTTATCATCTGTTATCGAAATTATAAATTATACACATAAGCTATAATATTCGTGCGGTTAAATCGATGAATCAATATAATTGCAGTTAATATTATTATCATACCCGGAGTGGTGGACGTCCTAGGCGTTTTCGGGTTGCTCGATCCGTCGAAATCGTTTTCTTCCTTCCACGATAGGATCTTTAACGCCGGTGGTTTGTTCTTCATCAGCAGGCTCACCACTTCGGTGCCGTTACTGTTGGATATTGCCGTGGTCGTCATTTTATTGGGAGGGTTTTTTTCCCTTTCGTTTGGTTATACGCAAAAATCAACGGCGGTCGATAAACGGCAAAAACGATATAATATCGACCAACTGAACTGTCTCGGGTAGTGCGTAGGCGGATATTGGCGGTAAATATGTGAATGCGAGCTGATAGACGCCTAGTGACCGTCAGCGCACGTCGCTGAATGCGAATATCGCTCTCGTGGTCCGGTCGGGTCTTCGGGGGAAGCGTCACGCGCTTGCAGTGCGAAAGAGTGCGCGCCGGACGAATTTCGTAAGGCTTGGAGGTGGTGGAGGGGAAATGTAAAGAGCTGCCGCTGCTGTTTGTCAACTTCGCACATTTCTCCTTCTCTTCTCCGATGCCGTCAGTTCACTCTTTTTCTCTCTCCCTACACTCCCATCCACTTCTGTGTTCCTCTCGCTCTTCGTTTCTCTCGGTTAAGTCACTGTGTCCCTCTCACTCTCTTTCACACACTACCTCTCTATATTCTGTCGTTATGTATGTGTGCATTTTCACAAACACACACACACACACGTCTACCGAACCCCAAATATGTTTTCGACGTTAACTAACGAAGAACCAACGGCTATGCCTTTTCAAATATGTAATGCAATGTAATTCATTGTAATTAGTATACATTTTTTTACATACTTATATAACATAGGTTTATTAGATTTGAAAAAAAAAAACAAAGAATTATACTGTAATGCGTTTAAAAATAAATCTACTAAACTACTTGAATAATACATTTTGGTTTTTGAGTGAACACATTTCGACGATGACGGCGGTTTGACGGTATTTGTTTGTTTTCTTTCAAAGATATTTCAACTTTCGAGTGCATAATAAATACCGACTTTATTTTTAGATATTTCTGATGTACACAAAGTATTTTCTAAAACTTCGTAGTTTCAACGCCCGTATACTTGAGTTTGTCGACAATTTAAATAACCTCTACTAAAATGGTCAATAGATCTCATAATAACATACAAATTCATAAGACTATAATAATAATGACAATGATGATCAGTTTATATCGAGTAATATTAATCTTGTATGGGTACCATCATTTATTAATAATAATAATTAAAATAATATAATTTACTTATATACATATTGACAGAATGGTTTTAGTAGAAATCGAACTTAACTATGTATATGCTTGATTAGTCAGTTTAAAGCGTTATAATACTTAAGTTTAGTATTACCAATGGATTCGTTGCAATCGATATAAGTCGTGATTGAAGTTGTGACATTTTAAAAATGGTGATGATAAAAGTAATAATTTTAATTACAGCCGAGTCAATAATAGTAACTTTTCGTATAATGCAATCTATAAAGGTCGTGTTTGTGTACACGGCCATTGAAATTATATTAAATATTTTTAGATTCTAAGCGAAGCTAGGACTTTTCTGAGCAGTTTTTATCATAATTGAGAAAAAACGTACAAAAACGAGAACACTTACGAAATGTATTATTATCAATTTTGTTTTTTTATTGTGATTTAGTTATAAATATTTGTGGAGATTTTAAATTTGTGTAGAAAACTTAAATTAGTCTTTTTTAGACGCGGTAAAATGTTCAAAACACTTTAACCATTTTTGATTTATTTATAAACATTTGAATTTTGTGAGTTGTTTATGTAATATTTATTCAGTAGGTATTACTCTGTATATAAAATTGTTAGACCAAACAGAAACGCTTGAAAATTTAACAATAAGTTCATAATTCGTACTCTGTAATCAGAAAAAGAAAATAGGGTGTAATGTAGAATTTTTTTTTTATAAACATTTTCATATCAAATTTTGACGAAAATCGTAAATACTTCTGCTTTTTAAAACATGTATAACCAAACTCCACAAATAATCGTTTTTCATTATCAATGATTAATCATTGTGTACAGATATATATTTAATTCCCCTCTATATCCTACCTTCCCAACTTCTCACCTATAACAGTAGCCTACCCACCGTGCGAAGAATGTCCGTCTTTTTTTATACTATTTGGATGTTATGCGAATAACACATGGAGTTGAACATTTTGAAAGGTGTACTATGAAATAAATACATATGCACGAGTCAAGGACCATGTAATAAAATTGATGATGGTTACATTAATTGTCCGTATAAATGAGTTTAATAAGTGTAAGTATAATGGGTATACTCGGCAATCGGTTACTTACAAAACTAGTCTGAGATTATATTATAACCCTGAGATTATAATCATACGTTTGTAATAATATTACATATACAATAAGAATGAGGTAGGTTTCATAACATGAAATACATAATGTAATTTTAAAAGTTACATCGTTTGGGAGATGGGGGGAGAACCTTTGCTTCAGTCTATAAATTTTATTTTGGTCTAAGTTGGCATTTCGGTTGATTTCTGATTTTTGTGCTTGAAGAAAAAATTTCAAAATATTCAGTTATGTTCGATATAAGTGAACTTTTGTTTGGATTCCATCAATGACAGATAATAAAACTGTAGTCGAATTATCGATTTTTTTTTTCCTATCGATAATTATTTGTTTTATGCGATAAGTAATAAAACGGTAATTATTAATTGGTTATATATATTATATATAGTTTTTAAATGACGGGTGCAGAATCGATTTATTTACAGTATAAAAGACGGATTTACTTTGCACAATGGGTGGGCCACTGTTGTAGGAGAGAACCCTGTAAATTTATCAATTTTCATTTTTCGTATTTTTTTTTTCCAAATTATTATGAAAACCGCTTGAAAAATAAAAAAATAATCTCCTTAATGCATGATAAAATTTTCTTCCAAAAAAGATGCTTGCTACACTTGATACCCCGGAGTAAAATTTCTGGTAGAAAAGTTGTTCGCCGGTTAAGAAAAAAAAAACCATTATTATAAAAACCAATAAATTCCTCGCTTAGCTCAGAATCTAAAATCTGACATACCTATAAAAAAAAAGAGAAGCGATGGAATTTTGTTTAGCAAAATTATTTTGTTCCTCGCCAGATAACAAATTCGGTAAGTGTTTTACAGCTCTCTAAATATTTAAACGATGTTACTGATTTTAACCATTGAGGATAGGTATTGTGTTTACAACACACTGAAAATCATCAAAAAATAAATTTAAAAAAAGGCTGATATTGCTGATGGGTGTTCCACTAGTTTAGAAGGGAGTTGGAAGAGAGCATATTATACTATTTTATAGAATAAGTTATTTAATTTATATCTGTGTACAATAATAAACCATTACTAATGAAAAAAAATTCTGTACAGAGTTATTATTTTCGAATGGTTTTCTTTGTTGTTTAATTAATACAAATTATACAATTATTTCCCTTTTCCTTTAATTATTAAGAAAACTACAAGGAAAATCAAAAATTAACCTTATTAATGCACTTGTAGTTAGATCAAACAAATTTCTTGTAGTCAAGTTGTTTACAGGCATTCAAAAAAAAAAAATAAAAACAAAATTAAATTAATATTTAATTAATCGTTTTACTCAGAATATAAAATGTTAGTATAATATAATATAATTAATATTATAACGATATAATATATATATAGGGTAATTCATTAAAAATGCTGGCTCCATTTTTAGAGTTAAATTATGCATACATTTAAATTACGATTTTTGGTATTTTTAAGTGTGGTTAAAAACGATATTTTGGTATACTTAGATTTTTCACCACATTTTATGAGTATCATATAATGATACCGACTTTTATTTTTCAAATGAGAACCGATATTAAAAATTTCTTAAATGAATGGAATATTAAATAAAATAAATTTTAGTGTTGACAACTCGTGTTAATTCGCCCACGGGATATTCCATTTTTTAGTTTAGGCAGGGGGAAAGAAATGGAACAATATGTGCTATATGTTAAATATACATTATTAGGTTAGTAAATTATTAATAGCATTATACTATAGGTAAGTATATATAATAGATTTGTTACTTATGTTAATTAAACAAACTGAATTATAGCAGCTTTTATATTATCGCACGGATCATGTCAAAATTCATCCATAAATAAAATTGTACGAAAATGCCGTAATATTTGAAAAAAAAAAATTAACGTTTAAAAACTTAAAAACGTTTGATATGAAAAAAAAACAACTTAGAACAATCATGGTGACATAATAATATAGTTAGAAAATTATCATCCCCGAACAATAATATTGTTAGATCCATATTATATTAATTCTATAATATTTACGTAAAATATATTTTTAGTTTGGTCCATACACTATTTTAGATCATAATAAAAAATTCCTGCATGTGTATATTATGTACAAATAAATTATAATTTGTTTCCAAATATTCCTAAAAACTATTGAATTTGTATTTTGAATAATTGATTCATAATGAGATTTATACAGCTGTGTATCGTATTTACTTATTTATAAAACAAACTAAAGTAAGAATTGGTCAATGTAAAAAACAGGTTATATTAAATCACACGACTCTATAATATTATATAGGTAATAAAATATAAAACATAATAATAGATCCCATACACATACTTATGCCGAATGATTAGATTACTTACTGAATTTCATCATTTTATCGATTTTTCAGTATCATAAAATAACATAACTACAATAAATTGTATTCACATATTTTATTTCAGTTTAACATACACACACACACACACATATATATATATATATATATATATATACATATACGAATGTATGTGTGTGTGTGTATAAATTGAATGTCGTTCGAACCTTAGGCACCTACTTAAAAACAACGACCTTGGTTCTGTTAAATTTATATGCATGATGAAATTTAATTATTATTTTAAAAAGAAATTAAGAAAAAATAATATTATACAACTGATTTTATTTAAATGTGATTTATAAATTAATAAAAGATCGGTGGCATGATATGAGGATAAATTAAATTTTCAGATTTATATTATTCATTATTAGATTTCAATGTGATTTTAATTATGCGAGGAATGTATTGGTTTCATCATAATGTGTGTATTTTTTTTTATGTCTATAGACAACTTTTTTACCTAATATCTTGTTTGGTAAATAATGCTGAGGGGTTTATTTGTTGCATTTTAGATTTTAGTTAACGAGTATAAGTAAGACGTTGTTCAACTTTTCATCCAGTTTTTTATAATAATTGTGAAAAAACAAAAACGGCGCAAAAAGAACATTATATATATATATTTATTATATCA